ATAAAATACACGAGGATCGGATCTGCGGAACTGCTGATGTGGACAGAGCAGAGAAGGCTGCAAGCATCACAATGGGAACCCCTTTGATTTCTCCCCCTACTTAATCTATCTGCCCACCAGCCCTGCCTATTCTCTCTCTGCCTAGCTATTGTCTGTTCAGCTCTTTATTAGATCAGCCAGGTGCCTTAGCCAGGCAAGGTGAAACAGATGCACAGACCTTCACATAATTAAACACACATGGTTACATCATTAAATAAACAGCAGAAACAAATGTAACACACCTTTACACAGTTAAAGTAATATTCAACAGCATAAAGAAATGTAACACATCTTTGCCTAGTTAAAATAATATTCCACAACACTCCTCTGCCTAGTAAAGTGTGAGCCCCTGTGCAGGAAGTCATCACCATCCAGGGCCTTTATAATCTATCACATGCAGTATTCAGAATTTAATAAAGTGCCAAGAGTGGGCCAAACAACCAGACAAACAAAGGTGTTAAAACAACAACAACAACAACAACAAAAAAAGCCACAGAAAACGAAAACCATGGCATTATCCGACAAGAACTTTCAAGTAACTGTTTTCACTGATCCAAGAAAAACATGGAGGAAACAAAAGAAGAATTCCCCAGAGAACTAGAACTAAAGAAAAGGGAAGGCAGAGTTGGAGACACAACACAGTGGTTAAATGGACCCGAGGTGGTTCCCAACTGCCTGTAACTCCAGCTCCAGATCTGACGCTCTCTTCTGGCCACAAAGACACATAAATAAAAATAAATCTTTAAAAAACGAACTAAGCTGGGATAAACTCGGGGTAGAAGTGCTTGCCTGGCTCCTGTTCGGCTCTGGGTTCAATCCCAGCGCTGGGGAAGGAGGTCGGAGGAGAGCAAAGGAGGTGAACAGGAAACAAATGAACTACACAGTAGACAAACGAAATAGCTAATCTTGAGCATCTGGGGTGGGAGGCCAGGAGACACAAAAGGGAAGCTAGGACAGATGTGTCAAAGCAGACGCTTTTACCAACCAGATTTACCGGAGTCTAAGGAAGGGAAAAATCAGGACAGAAACATTACTCAAAAGATGCAAGGTCTGAGAAATTTCTAGAACCCATCAAAGACCTCAACTGGCAAATTCAGGACGCTCTGCCAATGTCCAGAAGGAAAACAGGGAAAGGAATCCTGTACATACATCACAGAAAAGCCACACAAAGTGAAAACGAAGATAAAAATGTCAGTTAAAAGACAGACAAAGGGGTGAGGGGTTACTTTCAGAGCAGCAACAGCACAGGGTAGCCTTCCTTTTCATCAGAACTAAAAATGAAAACGGCACACCACAAAATAAGCATTTGGAAAAGATAATGAGCAAAACTGAAATATCTATAAATTAGTAAGAAAGACTTGAAGCAGAAACCTGATGACTGATAAATATGAAAGGTGTACAGTATCACCAGCAGGCAGCAATCGGCACCACCTTACTTAGGGAGGTCTGCTGGAATATAAATGAGCAAAATGATCTACTTTTTTCTTTGAAGTGAAGTATCAAAACCGTGGTGTAAGTAGATTGTCTGGTGACTGTGTGCTTCCTGGTTCGTGGTTCACCATCTTCTTGCTTATCTTTTTACATGACAAGAAGACAGAGAGCTTCTGGGGTAGCTTTCATTTAAAAAAAATGCACGTGCTGGCTAGTTTTATGTCAACTCAACACAAGCTATAACCTCCTGAGAGGAGGGAATCTCCACTGAGAAAATGCTTCCATAGACTGAGCTGTAAGCAAACTCATTTTCGTAATTAGTGGTTGACATGAGGGGGCCCAGCCCATTGTGGGTGGTGCCATCCCTGGGATGATAGTCCTGGATTCCATAAGAAAGCACACTGAGCCCCATGCCACCTCATCCCCAAGTTCCCAGGTTTTGCCCTGCAATCTTGTCTACTTCCCATATCCAGGCGGATGACTATATGTTTTTCTTTGGGTTCACCTTCTTATTTAGCTTTTCTAGGATCACAAATTATATGCTCAAAGTCCTTTATTTATGGCTAGAAACCAATTATGAGTGAATACATCCCATGTTCATCTTTTTGGGACTGGGATACCTCACTCAGGATAGTGTTTTCTATTTCCATCCATTTGCATGCAAAATTCGCGAAGTCATTGTTTTTTACTGCTGAGTAGTACTCTAATATGTATATATTCCACACTTTCTTCATCCATTCTTCCATTGAAGGGCATCTAGGAGAATGGGGGGAGCTTGGGGGAATGGGATGGTTGGGATAAAGGAAGGGTGGACACGGGAGCAGAGAAATATATAGCCTAATTAAGGGAGCCATTTTAGGGTTGGCAAGAGACTTGACTCTAGAGGGGCTCGCAGGTGTCCAGGGAGATGTCCCCAGAGAGTACCTTGAGCAACTGAGGAGAGGGAACCTGAAATGACCCTATCCTATAGCCATACTGATGAATATCTTGCATATCACCTTAGAACCTTCATCTGGCGATGGATCGAGATAGAGACAGAGACCCAAATTGGAGCACCAGACTGAGCTCTTAAGATCCAAATGAGGAGCAGAAGGAGGTAGAACATGAGCAAGGAAGTCAGGTCCATGAGGGGTGCACCCACCCACTGTGACAGTGGAACTGATCTATTGGGAGCTCACCAAGGCCAGCTGGACTGGGACTGAATAAGCATGGAATGAAACCAGACTCCCTGAACGTGGCGGACAATGAAGGCTGATGAGTAGCCAAGGACAATGGCACTAGGTTTCGATCCTAATACATGAACTGGCTTTGTGGGAGCCTAGCCTGTTTGGATGCTCACATTCCTGGTCCTGGATAGAAGTGGGAGGACCTTGGACTTCCCACAGGGCAGGGAATCTGGACTGCTCTTCATTCTCAAGAGGGAGGGGGAATGGAGGGGGGGAAGGGGAGAGGGGGAGGAGAGTGGGGGGAGGGGGCGATGGGTGTGAGGAGGGAGAGGGAAATGGGAAATTTTTTTTGCAACAACTAAAAAGGAAAAAGAAAAAAGAAAAAAAAAAGAAAGCACACTGAGCAAGCCATGAGGAGCAAACCAGTAAGCTGCACCCCTCCATACCGCTGCATCAGCTTCTACCTCCAGGATGCTGCTCTGCTTGACTTGACTTCCTTCGATGATAAGACACAGAAGTGTAAACTGTACCAGGCTTTTTCTTTTGGGACACCAACCTGCTCCCAAATCATAGGAAATAGAAAGGACAGTGCAAGCCACTTCCAAGCCTATAGAAACGACAGACATCTGGCTGCCTGGACAGTTGACCCAAGGTTCCTCTGCAATATTGGGGCATCCAATCTTCAGCCTTAAAATATCCAGTCGACTCTTCTATGAAGCAGGATTTGAAGGACTGTCCCACCTTGCTTTGGCAAAGTTCAGATACTGGAGGGAGGATGGGTAGAACTTTCACTCCTCCTTATATCCTCAAGAAATGTGAGTCAGAAGTCATATGTAAAATAACTTATTGCATCCTTTATCATACTATACAAAGACTGAAACCATCTCAAATGTCCATTGGTAGAGTGTTGACCATATTATGATTTATCTTGAGTGTCAATGTGGTAGAGTCTGAAGTCAACTAAAAGACACCTCTGGGCAGCTCTGTGAGGGACTTACGGGAAGAATTAGTGGAGGGGGAGGACCCTCTTCTACAGTACCCAACACCTTCCTGTGGCAGCCCAGATGCAAAGTCCAAAAGAGCAGTGTTCTCGCTCTTCCTTGCCTGCCTTTCCGTCTTGCTGGTGAGGGTGTCTATCCAGCTGTGGCCACCGCTGCTGCCATCCTCCACTCCTATCACAATGAAGCTTCTTCCATCTTCCAGTGTGGACTGAGGACAACCTCAGGCCTTCAGCACCAGACTGGGACAGCTGAGGCACAAACCTCATAGACTGAACCACTCACTGCTGGTTCTCAGCTTCTCCGGAGTGTAGCTCACCACTGTTGAACTACCCAGCCTGCATGCTGTAAGTCAATCTAATAAATTCCCTTTGTAACATATATTCATCCTGTCTGTTCTGTTTCTATAGAGGATCCATAAAAACAAATTCCATGTCAATATGGACAAATCTTTAACACAATGACAAATGAAAGACGCCAAACAGACAGAAATAGTTACAGTCTGCCTCAGTTGGTTAAAAAGTCAGTGAAAATGAAGTTACTGTAAGTCAGTGACTTGGCCACAGGAGGGAAGCTTCAGTGGTGACCACCAGTCGCCATCCCACGGTTACCCATGAGCTTCTTAGACAGGGAAGGAGATGTCAGCCTGGAAGGTCTCTCATATGGCTCCTGAGTGCTAATCAGAAAAACTCCAGCCAGAAAGTAACATGTATGTAGGTACACACACACACACCCCTTCATATTATTTGCATTTGTGAGCCAGGGACAACTCAGTGCACACATCCCAAATCAAACCCTAACAACACCCCAATTGTAAATCACATGTTTTTCCTATGTTCTCAGGGAGGGTAGGTGGGACGATTGACCTCCAGTTTCCAGAAAAGTACATAAGCCTGGAGGACACATGAGCGTGAAAACCATTTTTAGAACCCAAAGCTAGGGCTTCGCTCTGCAGAATGTCTGCACAGTGGAGATGCATACAAAATGGTGAAAGTGGTAAGGGCTCCTGGACTGTGTGTGTACATATTCATATGTGTGTATGCTCGTGTGTGCACATGCGTGTGGAGACCAGCCATCCACTTCAGGCATTTTCCTATGAAACAAGGTCTCTCTCTGAACCAGGACCTCACCCGTTTTGGCTAGGCTGGCTGTCTGCCAGCCCCAGGGATCTTCCTGTCTCCACCTTCCCAGTACTGGTATCATAGGCATGCACTGCCAAGCACAGGTTTTTATATAAATGCTGGGAATCAGAATTCAGATCCATGTCTGTGTGGCAGGCATTTTAAACTGAGTCAGCCCCAGTTCCTGGACAAAAAAAAAAAAAAAAAAAAAAAAAAAAAAAAAAACAAAGCAAAATGCCTTATTTAAGGCTTCTGGCAGGGGACATTTTATTTTTTTGGTTAAAGCCACAACAAATAGAAATGTCATTAAAACAAACTTGTAAACACAGCATCAGAACTTTGGTTTCACTAAAACCTCTCCCACCTGAAACATCTGAGGTACAAAGGCACCGAGCTAGGTGCCACACAGTTTGGTTCTGCAGCAGCCACACCGATGCTACCCTTGGAGTCAGAGCAGGCATAGGCTGGCCAGAGTCTGGGGCCCAGGTGACCCAGGACTCGGCCCAGGGACACATTCTCTCAAATTCAGACAAACACTGGCTCCTCCGCTGACCTGCCTGACAGGAGCTGGAACATACAAAGGAATCTGTCACGCTGAACTTGAAGATGACTTGGGCCGTGGGACCAGGAAGGAGCAGAGCAGATGAGGATGTCAATCAACTTCTGTTGTCCCACAAGGCCTCAGGAACTCTTGTCCTCGTTCATGGAACCACTTATTGGAGACTGTGAACAGAAAGCAGGGATGTGATGATTCAACCTAACAGTTCAGCAGTCCAATCAATGCTTCTCATGACGACCACTGTTGCATTAGGAGCGGCGGGGCTGCGTCCCAGGCACCCGGCCGCCCGCATGGCTAGCTTATGCCCCGAAATAATTACACGGAAACTGTATTCTTTCAAACATTGCCTGGCCCGGCTAGTTCCAGCTTCTTGTTGGCTAGCTCTTACATATTGTTCTAACCCATTTCTAATATTCTGTGTAGCCCACGAGCTGGCTTACCAGGGAGGATCTTAACCTGCGTCTGTCTGGAGCAGGAGAATCATGGCGACTCCTCACTCAGCTTCTTTCTCCCACAATCCTGTTCTGTTTTCTCCACCCACCTAAGGGTTGGCCTATCAAGGGGCTTAGGCAGTTTCTTTATTAATAAGAAATCACTCCCACATCAGACCACTGCCCTGTGGTGAGTGGAGGGAGACTCCGGAGCAACATGGCCAATCACGCACTGTTGAAAACACACGGGCACGCAGGCGATGGTACAAAAGTCTACCAGTGATTGGATGCATGTATGCAAGTTGCCATAAGAACAGAGCCGAAGGGCATCTCATGATGTTAGGGAAGTGGGACTGACTCAGAACAAGAAGCTGAACTGAAGTTATCCTGGAAAGAAGGCAGGCATATCGTGTGACTGCCACTCACTCCAAGTGGGCTGGATGCAGAAAGCAGGATGAGAAAGTCCTCAAAGGCACAGGCCACCCGGGGAAGTGTGAAGGACCTCAAGAAGCTGGGATGGTGACAAGCAGAAACTGAGGAGAGGGATAGGGAACCTGTCAGCACCGGGCAGGGCTTGGCCATGAGCCCCGGGCCCCCTGAGCTATAGAGCAGAATCTTAGTGCTGTGGGCGCTCTAGCTGGAGCACTGGTACCGGCACCGCCAGGTCACAGGCATGTACTATGACTCTGTTCTCAAACATAGATTTGCTTATGAGGAATACAAAAGTAACGCAGGGCAGATGACAGCTCATGTCATATAGCTGACAACCTAATCTTAATCCCCAGAACCCACAACGTGGAAGGAGAGAACCCATTCTTTCCAATTGTCCTCTGACCTTCACACGTGTGACATGGCACATGTACACACACACACACACACACACATGCACACACACGAGTTTTTAAAGTAATGCACTACTCAAGTCAGAGATTTTAAATACAATACCCAGACTTTCCTAAACAAACTGCCCAGAAGACTTAACAGCATATATAGTAGAATGGTAAACTTTAATTGTGCATGCAGAGCTTACATGTGTCGTGTGTGTGCAACACGCTTGCCATCTAGTACACTGACTTTCTCTGTACTTTTTCCTCCCAAACCAGCAACTACTTCACCGTTTCTGCGAGCCCGTCACAGTTTACCTCCCAAACTCCACGGGTTACAAACGCAAGGGATCCCTTCCTGTCACAGTCTAGTCCACGCTTTTCCCAGCTCTCCACAGCTGCTTCCAGGGTGAGGCTCAAGCTCATCCTCTGAGCTGTGCCCCGGGCTCCAGTCTCATCTCTTAGCTCCAGTCCCATCTCAGGACTCCCCTTCATCAAGGGACAAGAACAACTAGCCTCACCACCACCACCCTGTTACCTACAGTGCTGGCTGTAGCTGCATGTGTCTTTCTTGCCTCACATAGACACCCTCTCTCCTCTCTGCTCCCAGCTCTCTCGATGCGCCACTAAAACCCTTGCCACAGACCACGTCTCTGGAAATCCTCCGTGGCTCTCTGAGCATTGACAACCAGCTGTGGAAGCTCTGGCTGGGTGGTGTAAGCAGCCAAGACAACCTTTGTGATGCGGAGCTGACAGCAGTTAGCAGTGGTTTCCACCTCTGCATCTAAGGCCGAGGGCCGCCTCAATGCTGCCCCTCACGTCACTCACCCCACTTGCAGCCCACAAGCACGGGACAGGCCGCGTGTCTCGTCCGGTAATCGCCTTCCCCACTCCGCAGAAGGTTGTACCAGAAGACAGCTGTGCCCTGGGAGAGATCGAACTGTCAGAGTGCATCCTAAACAGCAGGTACACGGACCTGCTCTAGGAATCTAGCGAGAGCCATCCACCCCTAAGCAGAAATGCCCTCCTTTTCTGTGCTGGGGGACAGGGCTCAAACAGAAGAAAGTTCAGTAATGCACCTGCCCTGCCTCCCTTCTCCATGGGCACAAGCAGGGACCGCAGTCCAGAGCGTGGGTGGGAAGACAGTCAAGTAGACAGCCCGTGGTACTGGGGGACACTGACAAGGTCTGAGCCCTGCTTCAATGCGTGACCCTGAAAAATCACACTCACCTTCTTGGGCCAAATTGCAGCTCCCAAGTCAGGAAAGACGGTGGCACCTCCAGCTTCTACATCACTCATCTGGGGACATAAGGCAAAGAGCTTGGTCCCTCTCCCCAAGAACAACAGAGCAGCAAAATCGTAAGGACACGACAAGATGCACAGGTCACCCTCACAGCACTGGCGGGAAGTTCTGGCTATGACTGGCTAAGGCCAGGAAAGGCTCCCCACATGTGGCTTAATCTGTGCTGTTCATCAAGACAGGCTCCACGCCTGGAGGTTCAAGAGCTAAAGCCCCCAGAAGAGCCACATTCAGGACACCCTTGAATAGACACAACCTGCGTCCATTTAGAAAATTACTTTCTTAGGCTGGAGAGATGGCAGTTAAGAGCACGCTGTTACACACAACCCAGGCTCAGTTCCCGGCACTCACATGGCAGCTCAACCACCTGTGACTCTAGTTCCAGGGGCTCCAATATCCTCTTCTGGCCTCGGTGGGCATCATGCATGCATGTAGCACATATAACATATATGCACACACACATGCATGCAAACACTGATATAGATAAATACATATCAGAGAGAGAGAGAGAGAGAGAGAGAGAGAGAGAGAAGGGAAAGAGAAAATCCTATCTTTACCCTGTCCCCATCTTGAATTCTGACCCACTGCCGGGCCTTGCCTAAGCCAGTGTTCTCAGCAGTGTGTACAGAGCTCTGGACAGGAGTTCCCTATGGCTTCTAACCTCAGGAGTACTCCCTTCTCTGTGTGGCCGTTCTTCTGGCTCTAGCTGCTCTAATCAGCCCTCCACCTTCCCAGAATGCTACTCTTCCCGCTTTCTCCTGTAAACTGCACTTTTACTTGAAGCATTTTGTCTATGCTGTAATAAGAATTGGAGCTAAAATGTTTCCCAGTGTGACACATACAGCCTGCCTGGAGGGGTGGGCACTCGGGAGACTCATGATAAGGAAGACGAAAAGCCCAATGGCTTCCCCAGCGCTGGGGTTCAAACCCCGCGACTCTCCAAGTCAGCTTTGCTCGCCTCTCTCTAGACACACAAGCCTTTGCCTGTTTCGCGACATCCCAAACCTATTCCCTTCCAGGCCCCCACACACCTTCTTCTTTGCCAAAATAAGCTCCACAAATTTCCATTTAATTTTCAAGTCTCAACTGACATGCTATTTCCTAAATGAGGCCTTTACTGAGCCCCGTGTTTGGGCAAATTCTTCAGTGTTTGTCTCCATGGTAACTAAATAACCATCTTTCCCATGTTTCAAGTGAGTCTCCCATGTCAGACGTCAGATGTCACAATGGAGACCACATAGGACCTTCTCAAAAGTGTGTGTGCATAGCAGTCTCCAGGACAATTAAAACTTAAAGCCAAAAGGCAAGCTTTGTTTCTAAGTTCATTGACTATGCATCCTTAGAGTGGGCTATTATAATAGGAAAAGGTGAACTGAGAGCCCATGGGTGGGGGCGAGGCAGCAGGAGGGGAGCTGGCTATGCAGCCTCTGAGGAAACAGAGGCAATTTCCATCTAAAAGCACCCCCTGGCCACCTCTGCTCTCTGCCACCGAGACAGAGCTCACTGTGACTCTCATTCCCAAAGCTCAGAGTAGACCTGAAGCAGAACACACCACGGCAGACACATGTTAAAGACAGGGGCTAAGGGCATCAGCCAGCAAGAAGTCGACATTCCAGGGCTCCACTTGGATGAGGTTATGTGGTCTCAGAGAGTGGGCTGGTGGTGAGGAAGGGACTCTGGAATTAGTGTTAAATAGAAATAGAGTTTCCATTTTATGAGGTGAGAAGAGCTATGGTAACAGATGGGAATATGGTTCACATTAGGGATGGACTTAATAAAATCACTAAAGCACACAGAAAATTGTTATGATGGAAATTTCTATATTATCTATATTATACCACAGCTAAAAAAAGATAAGGGGGGTGGTAGGAAAGAATCAGGGAGTAGAAGAAGGGCAAGCTCACAGATGGGAACAAAAGCCAACTCTCTATCCTCCAGCCAAGAAGGGTGCCGAGGAAGCCTATGCAGCAGCTGATGCTATGAGCCCGGATGGGGTGGGATGTGCAGGAGCTCTCTGGCCCCAGGGGCTCCACCGGGCCCATCAGGTGCACGCATCATACTCACGTAGTTTAGAAACGTGGCCACACGATTCCCAGTCCCTAAACGCTTGAAAGCATCTTGCTCATCGCTCTATAAAATTAAGTGAGAGTGAACAAACGGGCCCAGCCCAGTACTTACATAGTTAAGAAACGTCGCTAACCTATTCCCCTCCGTTTTGAGGCCGCTGTCAAAAGGTCGCTGCAACAGACAACAACTTTTATCTAAGTTTGCAACTAACTTACCCACCAACCCAAAGGACTGGGACCCGAAGGGGCAGGGGGATGGTAAGTGTGCCTTCCATAGAACAGCTGGGACATGGGACAAGGCTACCAAACATTCCCTACATCAACAGAAAACAGCCAGGCTTCACTGGGCCCTGCATGTGCTTCACCAACAACATAGTCTTCCCCTGGTGAGGTGGAAGGTGGAGGAGGGATGGCGTGAAAGCTGAAACGCTTCTAGAAGCTCTAACCTTGTCAAACCAGCCAGGGCAGAGCCCGTCAAAACTACTAGTGATTGAGGGCTTACCCTAGAGAAGTCAAAGTGTGGTTCGTACTGTCCTCCCATCCCGTAGTTTGCGACCTGATGAGAGATTACAGCATTGACTTTGTCAGCAGTAAGACCAGCCCCACAGCCGCCCAACTCTATGGAAACCATCTCCCTGGGCCTGAAAACAACCCCCAACTTGTGTGTGTATGTACTATGCGTGTGTGGTATATGTATATGGTGGCGTGTGTGCACGCAGAGGCCAGAAGAGAAGGCTGTGTGTGTCCTGCTCCATCACGTTCTACCTTATTCCCTTGAGACAATGAACCTGGAGCTAGGCTGCCACCCTGCAAGCCTGTGGGTGACAGTAAAATGCTTAACCACGCTCAGCTTTTAGTATGGACGCTGGAAATGTGAACTCAAGGCGCAGGTGAGTACATATTTGCTCCGGAGATGGTGGTCCTGTCTTTGGAGGATGGAATCTTTGGGACCTAGCTGGCATAATTAGACCACTGGGTGTGAGCCATGAAGGTTTTATCTGCTGGTGGCTCTGGCCAACCCAAGCCCTCTGGTTTCTGATTCGGCAAGATGTGAACAAGCTGTATTACAAGTTCCGGCTGTGGAGCCTCCCCACCGTGATGGACTAAAATGTGAGCCAAAGCAGACCTCTCTTCCATCAGTTTGCTTCTGTTGGGTCCTCTGATGAGAAGAGTAACTAACAGTGTAGGTGCCTGCTCAGACAGCCTGGGAACCTGGGAGACCACCCAGCCCAACAGAACCCCTCCCAACTTCTCTGGCCCCAGGACCAGCCTACCTGCAATAGTTCTGCAGTCTTCACGGTCAACCCTGTGATATGCTGCATCCGACGGTTGACGCGGGCCACAACAGGGTCATCATCCTCCTCTAGCCAGGAGCTGCGCAAAGAAAAGAGCAAAGATGGAAGGCATGGGCAGGCTTACGTGAGTCCTCTGGCCCCTTCCCAGGCAAGGCCAGCTAGTGGGCAACACAGGGTGACTGTCCTGGAGAGAGAAGGTGCAGCAAGCAGGACAAGCCGGCATCAGCCCTCTTCTGCCTCCTTGCCGGGAAGCTCCGGAGTTGGGCTTGAGTGGCTGTCCCCCACCCCACCCCACAACTACCTCTGCTCACCTTTTGGAAACTCTGTAGCTGGCAACAGTGAGGACACCTGTCTTGGGGTCACGAACAGTAGCTCGTGCGAGCTAAAAGAAAGAGGATGGAGTTATCCTTTTTGGTTTTGGGTGTTTTCCCAGAGAAACTGAGACCAGATGGGCCAGCCACATCAGTGGGAAAACAGCTGCAGAAAGTAGTTCTAGCTGATGTCCCATGATACTCCAGTCCAGTCTCCACTTCCCTCTGTGCAATGAGGCCTGGCCACACCCTCCTTGCTCATTACCCACCCCTCTGCTACCCAGGTCTATGCTGCCAGCACTGTTATCCCTATGAGTTCTGCTTGGTCTGTACATGATTTCTCCAAGCATGGCCTTTCTTGACAGGCCCACAGCACACTGCCTGAGCATGTGATTCCACCATACTCAGACCGGGCCATCTCTGAGTCTCAACCCGAGGCTTCTGTTGACATGGTCAAGTTTTCCCATCCTTCTGCCAAGAAGCTACCCAAACGTGTCTGCTGTGCCTCCTGCCCTGCTTGGCTCCTACTGTGCAGCAAGGAAAATAGTTTGCAGTCTGTCTCGGCCCTCCCAGAGTCAACAGAGAAAACGGTAGGAATCTGATGTACATGAACTGCTGTGCAGAAGCCACCCGCAGTGGGCAACCACACACAAATATACACACACACACTCACACATACACATACAAACACACAAACACATACACACACACAAAGACATAACATACACACACAAACATACACACATACACAAACACACACACACACACACTTCCTCTACCTCATCTCCCCAGTCTCCATTTAAAGGCTCAATGGAACTTCCGGGAGGGGTATACTTGTCCACAGCAAGAGTACAGGTGCCTTCCTCGTGCATCACAGGATGCAGGCCCGGTACCGACAGGCATGTTCAGGCAGAAGTACAGGTGAACCCAACAGAACAGTGCTGACGCTTACTTCCAATAACTGTCTGATTGGTGTCGACTCTGTGCCAGGTGCTATGCTGAGAGACCGAGACATGACCCCTGCCTTCACAGAACTTGGTCAAGTGGAGACGGTAGAAAACGGGCCACGTAAGTAAGCATGGGTGAGCTTACTGTCCTGTGGGAACGCAGCCAAAGGTGGCAGCAGCTTGGGTACTGCTGAGAGCTGGGATTTTTCTGAGACCCTCATGTGTGGAGAAGGAATGTAGCTCCTTGTCTGATCCTTAGCAGATACAGTAATGGCCCGGGGCAAAGGTCCAAAGGGAGCTGTAGCTTTGCGTCCTCAGAGCCAAACGCTGTGGGTATCAGTGCCAAGGCTGTGAACTCCTCTCTGATGCCCTTGGCCTTGAGATACCCTGTGTTCCCCTCGTGTGACACTGCTTGGTTAGCTTTCTGATGACATTATCCCCTTGTATGCTAGTTCTTCAGTGGCACTGTCTCATGTCTCCCCGGGAAACAGTATTTAAGACGCTGAACTTCTTAATAAGCTTGCTTGGCGTGAGACATAGCTTGTTCAAGACCTCCTGAGCCCACCTGTTCTACCTTCTTTACCTCTGATCCTTCTTCCTCGGGACCCTGCCCTTGAAGAACAACCTGCTGGCCTAGGCTAGGGTACTGTGTGCATTATAGTGGCAGGGAAAGGGCACTGGTGCAGAGGCCCCGGATGAAAGGGCACTGGCTACAGGCTAAGGCTACTGATGCAGTGAGATGAGAAAAGGCCCGAGACAGAGACTGGGGTCTGCTGCCATCTTATGGTCACCCTGAAACAGGGACAGCCTTATGCAAGGGAGGGGCAGTCACAATGGAATATAAGGACTACTGTGCCACCTGATGGGCAGACCAGATGGGAAGACGACTAAAAAAAACCTGGAACATGGATCAGGGCAAGAGATGGCAGAGGCCTGGGACAGGAGGTGAAAGGAATGGAGAAGAAGAGCCATACCAGAAGTCTGGTCAGGAACTAAACTGACCCATCGCATCACTCTGGCTCATAACGCTCTAATATGAATATGGCCGCCAGTATACCCAAGAAAGGTGGTTTCCCAGGTTCCAATCTACGGTCCTTTTATTAGCCTAGTGGATGGCCATTCCCGCCTGATGACAGTCATTGCCACTAGACTGTGCAAACATCTGAGCCTTGGCATTGGCCTGGTGCCCAAAAAGACTTTGGGCAGCTGTGTTCTGCCCTGGGGACAGACGGGGCTATTTTGAAAGCAGACTGGGGACTCACAGACAGCTGCCAGGCATTCCCCGCAAGCCAAGCTAAGCTCGCTGGCCCCACTTCAAAGCCGGAATAGCATCTGTCTGCCCTGGCCTCCGGAAAGGAGAGGTCAGCTCATGATGGCCAATGTGTATGGTTTATCACGTGGCTCCTGTTAAAAGACCAGTTATCCCAACGCCAGCCACCTTCCACATCCCTGCCTCATGCATGCATGTGCACACAGAAAAACATTCCATGCCCTGGACTATGGCAGGTAAGGAATCTCTCAGATTTTGGTTTGTCAGTGCCTCTCTCAACTAGAAAACAGGAGAATAAGCTTTCTTCTCTGGAGGACTTTGGAACTGACCAAGGAAGTGAAATGAGGGGTCTTAGCTACAGTGCTCCATACACTAGACTGAACCTCGATTACACCCATGATACCAGCAACAGACCCTGTCTCCTGATGTGTGCTATGTCTTCAAACCAAGGCTGTTCCAAAGTGAGCTTTGGGGCCACTATAAGCACCTATCTGAGGTCTGCCCATGAGCAGAAGCTCCCAGCCACCTCAGTTACTTCAGTTCTACTACAAACAAAGCAAGAGAAGAGTCAGCTCATCCCTCCCTCCCAACTGCCTGTGATGGGAGAAAGCTGGGGCAATGACAGCTTCTCTTCGAAAAAGATTAAATGGGACCAATCATCTATGGGCTTGAAATCAAAGAATAATTGTAGCAACATGACAAACAAAAGCCAACAGTCGATGGTTATAGAGCAGGAAATGCCAGTTGGATTTCCATGATCCTCAGACACAAGACAAGGCTGTCCACTGCAAAGATGTTCTACAAGCTCCAGACATCTCAGCAATATGGTCAAGGCAAAGGAGCTCTAACTGTCAGGAAGGATAAAACATTTCCCTTGCTTGCAGATGACAATTCTGTCAAGATAACCCAAGAACACCAGCCAACAAAGTCAATAAGGAGGAACTTCTACCTCCACCACTGACCTACACAGGTCAGTTTCCTCAAGGGAAAATGAAGGAGGAACCAGAGTCTGCAACAGACAACCATTCATACAAATAGAACACTGGAGACAGGTCCTGCCACACCAAGCTCAGTAAACATGAGTTACCACTGGGAGAGATACTGCAAAAATCAACAGTTTGGCATATTAGGCTATAAACGTGGCTCAGCTAAGAGCACTGGGCTGGCACACAGAAGACCCCGGGTTCAATGGCTGCACTATATAAACCAGGTGTGACATTATACAGCTGTAATCCTAGCCCTCGGAGGTGGTAGCAGAAGGGTCAGAAGCTCTAGGTTATCCTTAGGTATATATAAAACAAGTCTGAAGCCAGCCTGAACTACATAAGACCCTACATAAAAAAATGGTAGTCGATAATTTAGCATATAACAGTGAACTAATATAGCAATACAACAAATTAAAATATTCCCAAGAAGAAAATTTACAAACTACAAACCAATGAGGAATAAGTTTAGTAAGAAATGTATTTAAATTGAAAATTTAAACATAAGTAAGTAAAGATGAAGACTATCCAGATCGTATGGATGCACACCCTCCTCTAAGTCAACAGTTCTCTGTGGTCTTTATCATCTCGTGGCAATCCTCACCCCTCACTGCCATCCTCGCCCCTCACTGCTGCCCTCGCCCCTCACTGCAGCCCTCACCCCTCACTGCAGCCCTCACCCCTCACTGCAGCCCTCACCCCTCACTGCCATCCTCGCCCCTCACTGTCATCCTTGCCCCTCACTGTCGTCCCCACCTCTCACTGCCGCCCTCACCCCTCACTACAGATCTCACCCCTCACTGCAGTCCTGATCTGGAACTCCACAGATCCCACTTTTCTGGGACTGTGCATTTCCTAAAAAGCAACCCATACACCAGCCCTTCAACCAGGTGAAATGTCATCTGTCACCGAGCTGCTCTGCTCCCAACATGACCTGCTATCATGTTCACACCTGTCCATCTGGTTCCCTGCTTTTTCTTCTCTTCAAGTTCATAAACCTACAATGTCAGTCGAAGTCCACATTAGCTATGGGCGAGAGTGAACTGGCGCACAGACAAGCCGCCCCACAGAAGCAGCAGGAGGGACTGTACCCCGCCTCACTCAGGGGCCCAGCAGGACCCACAGAGATACCTACTTTGGGCTTAGCGATTTCCTTGATCCTCTCGATTTCTTCATCCGACATCACGTCATAGTACCTGACGATGTGCGGGCTATCCCACTCATCCTCCTCTTTGAAGGGGGCGATGAGGAGCTGAGGCACCCTGTTACCATGGTGGTACCTACAGAAAAGCCTCTTCTGCCTCCAGGGCGTCTAGGGAGCACAGAATATAGGTCCTGAGCGGAGCGAGTCCTCACACTCAGCGTCAGTCCAGCTGTCTGCACAGGCTGGTTTCACCCTCCGTGGCCAAGGCTGTCTGTCTGTCCTCGGCTTCACCACAGAAGAAAACCAGAGTGGAAAGTGACCCCAAACAAACCATGCAGCTCCCCTTCTCCCCGAAGATCACCCCATTTCCACAATTCCTGCAGCAAAGGGCACCTCCTGACCCTTTCATGGAGATTTAAATAGGCCTGAAGCACTGTGGCTGGGGAGAAGCCTTTCCAGATGGAAAACAATCGGAAGCCAATCAGGGGGCACAGAAAAGGGGAGTGCCTCCTTCAATACTGAGCTGTGAGGATCAGTGGAACCCTGGGGCTCTCGGAAGCCAGGGACACGGACACCAAGCCCCAGCAAGTGCTGCCATTTTCACCACTGGGTCTTTATTGTCATTGACACCCTGGGGACCTGAGGCATATCTACACCCATCATTTCCCTCAAACCAATGAGCCAAACATTAGGTAGGCACACTGGGGTGAGTCGGGAGTACAGCAATGTCCTGGAGGATGGGAATTCTCCCTGGAGCATCCATGGAGACAATCTCCTGTCCTATGCATCAGAGAACCCCCCACCTCCCAGCCTCAGAAGATGCTGAGCAAAGTGCAAAGCGACAGTGGAACTTCCCATGCTGCCTGCCCAGAGCCAGCACCCAGATCCCCAGCCTGGCCACCCACCCTTTCCCAAGTCTCACCAGTTTGACGCCTTCCCCACGACACAGGCTCTCATACACATCCCTCTCGGGGAGGTAGTCCACGGGCCTCTCGTACAGATTTTCCTGGGTCGCTAGCCCAGCTTCTGTCTGATTAAACAATGGTTTTTCTCTTTCTTCCTCTAGCAGCCGCTCAAAGTACCTAAGATTCCCGCCAGCTCGTTCGTGGTTTGGGTCTAGAAAAAGTGAAATGTGTGGACAAGAAAACCACAAACATCTGTTAGGGTCGTTTACAGAAACTGTTCTGTGAGCCGCTCCTCTCCCAGCAGCCCGCTGGTAGGCTACACTCTGCTGGCTGCGGCACCTAACCGGGCTGCGTCAGCCAGCGCTTAAAAGTCAACAGGGGCTTTCTCATCCTGTCCAGTGATTAGGGAGATGTGTCATTAAAGTAAGGCACATTCAGCTAGTAACTAGGGGGTTAGGCAAAACTCAGAACTGTGGAACCTCCAGGAGATCCCCCTCCAGGAGATCCCTTGGAATCCCGCCTCCTTCTTGTGATTGGCTGTAGCTATTTAAAGCCATTCCCCAGAGTGCAGCCAGCAAGGGACACAAGCTGAGAGACTGTCAAAAAAGAAAATATAAATAAATAAATAAATATAGGAGGGCTACAAGGCAGGCCAGATGGCTCAGCAGGTAAAGGCGCTCACTGCGAAGCCTGACAACCTGAGTTCAAAGCCCAGGATCTGCACAGCGTACAAGGAGAGAACTGACTCCCTGGACTTGGCCCCGACCATACAGATGTACACTGTAGCACTTCTGTGTTCACCCGCTTACACAATCAACAAACAAAAACAATAAATAAATAAACTGTAATAAACTTTTATTTAGAAGTAGAAGAGCCAGAGTTCTGGAGGACAACACAGTATCTGGAGCAACAGCCACAGCAGGAATTCTACATCACTCCCCAGATAACAAAACTGAGGCTCAAGGAGGTCCAGTGACTCAAGATGAAACCATACAGAAGAGTCGGGTGTCCTGGCTCCCTGTCCAAAGCTCTTACTAACTCACATGACAGATTCTACAAAACCCTCTACCCACGTTGGTCTTGCGGGATGCTCAATTGCTAGCTGGCCTCACATGCAGGCTCCCTGGCAAACAGTGGCAGAGTTAAGTCTCCACTGCTTTGTGAAAGTCCAGACAATAACATTCCCACGTATTAGCAAAAGGTGTGATAAAGATACAGCACTTTGAGCCTTGTTCTGTCCCACATCACAAGACATACAGAGTACAAATGGCATGCTAAGTCCTACTTTAGACTTCGGGACACTAAGAGCTAGAATTACTGTCACTGCGGCCATCCAGAAGTACAGCTTGCTTCTCAATCTGTACTTTACATGGTGAAGGGTCTACCCTGCATAATGGTACAAGTGCCACAACACTAGGTTCTTATTTTTAAAAGTGCCACAGTACGCATGTATGTGCACATGCACTTACATACATATGCCCACGCACATGCATGAGCAACACACACATATACACACAAGGATGTCAAAGGCCTTTGAACACCCATCACCAGTGGAACATGGCCTAACAGGAAGGCTGTGGGTAAGGAGTTAGTCGGCAGTTGGCAAGGCAGTTGAAATCACTAAGACATACTCATCCCTGCGCAGGTGACAATCCAACCGATTTAGTTCTAAGAGATGATCAAGCAGTGTGGCCAAAAGAGTCAAGTTCCCTTGCTAGGTCCAGTCCCTAACCTCCTTACCAAGAGAGAGCAGGCGGCGGGTAAGCTCCACAGCACGGTGCAGGTCCCCCAGCTGGAAGACAGCATAGCTCAGGTAGTCCAGCACCAGGGATTTTGTGATGGTGGCCTCCTCCCCAGCGTCGAGCTGCTTCAGCACCTGCTCCATCCACAGCACAGTATGGTAATAGTCTCCTTCATTGTAGGCTGAGCGGCCCATCCCGAAGCAGTCGTCCACACTCAGCATGGCCTGGTACTTTGTTCCTGTAGCAGGAATAGCAACAGTCAGGCTCGGAAATGCCTCTGGGCTAGGAAGGGAGACGCTCACTTTGGAGAAAGCCTGGGCCACTGAAAGGGGGACATTATTCAAGCAAAATTCCACCCCGACTTCACGCCACACACCATGAAATACCGCCAATATAGTGAGCATAAACAGGACAGTTTAGCTTAGGTTAGAGGTCAGAGTCAATCTCTAAGCCTCAGACTCCTTCTCTCAAGTAGAAGGGACTTTGTGACAGGGAGTCCAGGGATCCTACAAAGACACGGTCCTGAGGTCAGTGGGTATAGGTTCTGTAGGTCAAAATGAGAGCTGTGTGGAGGGCAGGTGGCCATGGAAGTCTAAAGAGCAGAAAACTTGGATGAATTTAAGAAAGGATTTCAGGTGACATGGAAGTCATGGATGAGGGCAGTCACAGGTAGGAAGTCTGAAAAAGGAAAGGACAGAGAAGGTTCAAAGTTAGACCTCAAGGGAACACAGATGAAGTAACATGAGAAGGGCAAGGGGAAGAAGAGACAGATAATGGGAACAGGTGACAGATGCCAATGTCGACAAGGAACCGAGGCTGCGATCCAGCAGGGATGTTGGAGCATCAGCTCAGCGGCCTTGTGCCTGATAGGACCTCTGCCGTGGAAAGTGGCCACAAAGATGGTTTCAACTTGAGGAACAGCAGCAGCTTTAGGGAGATGTGGAGCTTGAGATGGCAAGGACTATGTGTTCCTCAGGGGATAATGAGAAGGCAGCTCCCACGAAGAGGGCTAGGCACTCCCTGCAGCCACCCGAGGCTCCCTATTCACAGCTACCAGGCAAGGATGGCATGTTAGGACTGTTCGCGCATCCCTCCCTTCGCCCAAGATCTACAATGAGCGTCTTCCCAGGATGGCAGCTGCTGCAGAGACCAAGGTCTGTTAGTTCTGGTGGTCCAGAATCTGACAACATGGGACAGAAAGTCAGGAGAGTAAACATAAGATGGAATCATAGGCAGACCAAGCGTTGGGGGCTCATGGGACCGCTCTTTCTCCACAAGTCTCCATGGATCTCCACTGACTCTTTGGATGCAGGAATCTATTACAACAGGCTTAACACGGATAAGCAAGCTGTGCTCTGGACCTTGACAGAGCCAGATTGCTGCATCCCTACCAGTTGTACGACTCTGGACAATTCACCCAGCCTCAGCCTTAGTCCCCTAGCTAAAAGGATACGCTACCGACCCAGTCTATCTAAATAAAGACACCAAAACCGGTTTTAAAGGGCTGTGCCAAAAATCCACTGAGATGATATATGGGGATGTTGCCTCAGGATGTTAGAGATCAGCAGCTACAATCAACATGTCTTATGAATGCCAAGAATGTGAGGAATGACGTCCATAACTCAGCATCCTCCTCAGAAGGGAACTCGAGTGTCTGCTCCGTGACGGGGACAGCTAGGCTGAGCGCTTAAGGGCTAACAGACACGGAGGAGCCCACAACGGGTGAGGGTACCAGAGCCGAGAGATGGAAACGCTGGGAACAACAGGCAAGCTGGGAACAATGCCCCACCTATAGGGAGACTCTGGGGTCACTTCTGAAAGCTTAGTATTGAAGTCAAGTGGATAAATGTGTACTTAGGAGCAGAGAGAAAATTGTCCCGAGTGAGTTGGAGATATGCAAAGGGCCAAAGGGCATTAGAGAGACAGAATCCATAGACTTTACGATTGCAGCTTAGGCTGCCAATGGGCAGAGGTGCTTTCTGCTAAGAGAATAGGTAAGGACAGGTGGGAATTTCAGTTTGGCACCAATGAAGTTTATGCAATCCATGGAATGTCCAAGCAGAGATGTCTAGAGGTGCTCGCCTATCCTGGTTGGAGGCCCAGGAGACATGCCTTGACAAGGAACACAGACCTGCATGTCATCCATGTCGGGCAGCACATCAAGTGATGAAAACAGTGGGGCTCCCCTGAGGAAGGGGTTCAGAGCGAACAGTGGGTGAAGTTCTGGGGAGTAACTCGCTTTGCCCTCCGGCCCCATCCAGGACACTCAGGGGCCTGCTAACTGCAGAAGGGCACTGTCAATATACAGCTCCCTTCTCCCATCCACCAGGCCTCACAGCCATAAGACAAAAAGCTTCCCAGAATTACCTTCTCACTCTGGCCTCATGGTTGGGTCTGGACCAACACTGACTTAAGCAGGAATAAAGAGAACCCTCCTCCCCTTGTTAGCTCAGCAGAGTCATCCACACCAAGACCCTGGGCCTTGAGTAGCCAGCCACAGGACAACTAAGGAGGAAGACAGGTCCTACATCACCTGGGTCTCTCAGCGGTATTTCCCCTAGGCTCCCAAGAAGGGAGGTATTATTTAAATTATAATGAGGTCCAACTGAATTCTTGGGTTTATTGATCTCAAATAACCCCTTAGACCCAGTAAATCTATAATCACTAGCACTGGGCAGGAAACAGGCAAAAGGCCAATTAAAAAAAAATCAAAAACAGAGGAACGAATGGCCAGACATGTGAAAAGAAAAAAGGCAGAGATCAGCACCCCAGAATCCAGGACATCAGACAGAAAGAAACAATCCATGCCAGACGCTACAGCAAAATTAAAGGGTGTTATGCTTGTAATCCACCTGCTGGCTTTGCCGGCCCTGTGCTCCTGGTGACTTTGAAGAACAGGATCACAGATGAGACGGACAAAGGCACTGTGGGTTCAGGAGTATGTGAGAACCGGGGAGGGCAGCAGAGAAAATAAATCAAATCACTACCCAGAAGCCTCAGGAAAGAAGAAATGGACTCAAAAGAGCATTGGACCTAGAGAAGTATGAGCGATGAGCTACAGAGCCTTCTTGTGAGGTCGGGGGGAGGGGGAGGGAGAGAGAGAGAGAGAGAGAGAGAGAGAGAGAGAGCGAGCACAGGGAGAGGGGGACAAAAGAAATGGAGGACTAGGCAGGACTATATATGAACTCAAAGAGCCCAGAGAGGTAAAGACAGAATGGGAAGGGACAGAGACGGACTAGGGAGACATACAGGAGATGCAGTGGGTCTACAGACCAGCCGTGGACAGAAAGCAATGAGAGGCTCAGGGATGGGAAGCAGGTCTGCCAGCTGATGGGTGATTTTCTGGGAGCGGGATGCTGAGGGAGACTCCTGAGCAACAGCCTCAACTCTCTACCATGCTAGAGGAGAGATCTTGGCTAATACCTGAATCAAGACGTTGGGGAACGGGTTGAAGCATGGGAGACTGGCATCCAAAGGGAACCGGAAACCACCACCACCACCACCACCACAGACAGTGAGTTCCACCTAAGCCAGTCTGACCTGTCCTGACACTGAAGAGACGGAAGTAAACAAGGTGCCTCACCTGGAAGTTCCCCCCTGGAAATTGTGTCTGGGTCCAGTTTGTATGTGTCCTGAAGTCTCATCAGTGCTCTGGCGGCTCCGGACTCGTCCTCGTCGGTGGGGAAGAACTGCCGCTGCATGGAGAGGTTGGCCACAAAACCTTCCAAGTGACAGTGAGAAGAGAGGTCACTCTTGATCCCGGGGACAGAATTCTACCGGGGACCAGAGGCGGGTGCTAGAAGGTGTCTGGCTGGTGGGATTTCCCTGCCCCTTCCCTCAAAGGCTGTTGGTAGGCTGTAGGCTCAGTGATCGGGACACCTGCCTGGCAGGCATTTGGGAGCCAGCACCAAAATAAGAGTAGAAAAAACAACAATAAAGCGTTCTCCTTCTTCAGAGAGTCCTCCCAGGGGGCTCCTCCACAGAACTTCTTTCTTAGCCCTCCCTATGCTATTCACTTGGAACTAAAAGGTTCTGCACTTGGCTTAGCACTTGAGTCCAGAGTCAGAGTATAGGCTTGTGGTACCAAGACCACAGCCCAGAGCCTAGATAGATTTGACCGCTGAAGTAGCCCCAGGTGGCTTTTCTAGGACCTCAAGGCCTAGTCCCAGCGAGAGACATTCCTGATATTCTAGGACTCTGGGCCTTGCCATGCTAATGCTTCAGGCCTGAGAATCTGCCTAAGAACTGAGGACTGGGAGGGGAACGCCAACGAACTCCACTCCTGACCCCTTTCCAAGAGCAACAGCACCTGGTGCCACCCCTTCTCCACATGGCAAGTTAGGGCCCAGGGATAAAAAAGCTGCTACATTATCTTCTTCACAGCTATATGGTCAGGAACTCTGAAGATGCTAGCATCCACAAAAAAGAAGGAAAGCCTCATAGACAGCCACACTGTACTGTCAGGGTCCCCCCTTTTATGTCAGGGGCAAGCATCCAACATCAGAGACGAACATAAATCAGAGCTCTCTGGGCCTGTCCCATCATCTTCCAGGTAATCCTCGCTCCCAGCTGTTGATGGGAGGTGGCAGGGACGACAGGATCAGACAGCAGATCATCTGCGTCTGTAAGGGCTTCCTCGCCTACACCTCCTGCAAGCAGGAGGAACAGCCTGTTCTGAGCTGTTCTGAGCAGCAGGCCCAACCCAGGAAAGGGAGGGGAGGCGGGTCTGGGAAAGGCAGCGCTTTCTGGAGGCAGTGAGCTCACAGGCACAGCTCCAGCAGGGCGGAGCTCACCAAACCCTCCTGAGACTACCCAGCCCCCAGCCAAGCCCAACCCCAGCTGGTCACGTGGCTGGGACCAGTCTCAGTCAGAGAGACAGCTAGTCTGAAGTTAATCAGCACTCCCAGCTCCGAGAAGAGGCCCAGCCTGAGGCTGGGAATCCCGTGGCCCACCTCCAGCCCACCCTTCCATTACCAAGATCCTCTCCTCTGGATCACAGGAGCGTGTTCACACACAGAAAGCACTAGCCCAGAAAGAGCCTTTAGCAAATCCGTGCTCCGCCCTGGAAATACCATTTCTAGGAATTTAACTTAGAAAAATAACCGGAGGTCGACAGCAAGATACATGTAAAAGAGCTGAAAAATTGGACACAACCCAGGTGACTTGACCAGGCTTAGAGAATATCACTGTGACAGATGACTATCCAGCCGTAACAATCACGGCACAGGCACATTTAATGGCATCTGCAGAAGCTGGGAAACCCAGGACTGAGCACATATTTATGTTGAACCCACGCAGTCATGTTTTGTTGTAAAAGACACACATAGGAAAGAATTCAGATGACGTCTCTATTCCCCAGCTTGCCTCAGCCCCAACACGCAGCCCACCTGGCTCACACGTAAGCAGATTAATTCTTTTTGGTGGGTGTATGCATGGGTGGTGTTTGTAAATGCGTGTGTATGCATGATCGCATATGGGTGGGTGCACATGTATGCATGTGGATGTGCATGGAGGCCGTGGGCCTTCTTCAGTCTCCCTCTACTAACTCACTGAGGTAAGACCTCTCAGTTGAGCCCAGCGCTCACTGATCAGCTAGTCTAGCTAGCCACCTTGCCCTGGGAAATCTCTGCCTCTCGAGTGCTCGGATGATGCCAGACACACTTGCCTGGCTTTCCATGGCTTCTGGGGATCCAAACTTCAGCTCCCCTACTTGCACAGTGAGGGCTTTACCCACTGAGCCATCTCACAAGCCCGAGATTACAGGGTTTCTTAAATATTTTTTATATTTATTTATTTATTATGTATATAATATTCTGTCTACATGTATGCCTGCAGGCCAGAAGAGGGCACCAGACCTCATTACAGATGGTTGTGAGCCACCATGTGGTTGCTGGGAACTGAACTCAGGACCTTTGGAAGAGCAGGCAATGCTCTTAACCACTGAGCCATCTCTCCAGCCCCTCTTAAATATTTTTTAAAGTTTATGTGTATGAGTGAGTATTTTACCTGCATGTATGTTTGTGCATGCATGTATGCATGCATGTATTTATGCAAACATGTATGTATACTCACATATGCTGTGTATACATGTATGCATACCTGGTGCCTGCAGAGGTCAGAGGAGGGTGTCAGATTAACTGGGCTTGTAAATACAGATGGTTGTGAGCCACCATGTAGACGCTGGGGACCAAACTTGGTTCTTCTGCAAGAGCAGCCAGTGCTCTTAACCACTATGTAATCTCTCCATCCACCAAGATTATAATTTTAATGGTGCTTATCATGGAGCAGTTGGATTAAGCATCATGATTTTTATGTGATATACTTTGTGTTCCTGAAGTTTGTTATAAAAATATGTATTTCTGGAGCATAATTAGAAAATATCATTACCAGGAAACATTACAAAAGAACAGGAAGTGACTGTTAGACCATTTTTAAAACAAACCAACAAGGACAGCTCCAGGCAGAAGCAGACAGGCGCACAGACACAGCTGACAGCTGCTCACTGCCCCTCACCTGCGGCCGAGTCCTGCAGGACCAGGTCCCCCAGTGCAGGCCACTCTGTGTTCAAGCGCTTTACCAGCTTATAGGCATTCACGGGATGAGCCAGGTAGCCCTCGGGGTCGGCGGCTGACTTGCTGGTCAGGGTTTCCATTTTACTGGCCCAGCTGTAAAACCAAAGAGAAGAAAAAAAAAGACTACCACACCTACCCACACAGGCTGGTAATTTCCTTGGTGAGGCCCCAGAGCTCTTTCATCAAGAGATAATAAAACATGACTATAGTAACTTCCTAGATACTTCTAGCCCTTAATCTAGGTAAGAGCTGGGAACTCCAGTGTAAATTAAAATGTGTTAAGCAGAAAGGAAAAAGATGGTTGCTTCTTAGCCCGTAGACTCAGCAACTCCGGAGGACCAGCACAAGTTAACTGCAGGTCTGCTCCTCTGGGTCACCCTCTCAATGAATTCCTCTTACAGACCCTTGGACAGGCTGGGGACAGTGGAGCAGCAGGGAGACTCGGGGTGGGGTCTTAGGACACTGGACACCTCTTAATCTTGGAGAGCTTGGCTTCCTCCACAAGGATGTACTCCTTCAGAGACTGCACGAGGTCCTTCTCTGCATAAATCAGATCAGTCATGTGCCCTACAGGAGAGAAGCAAGGGCCAGTGAGAAATGGATGAGGAGTGGCCTGCCCCATATACCAGAGCAGAAATGAGTACCCCCAGGCAAGGGCATGTCAGTAAACTGGGAATCATAGAGACTGGTGGTTAAAGGTACCTAGTCACTCACATGGCATGACCCCAACTCCAGGAAGACAGATGCTGAGGCGGCAAGAGCATGCCTGGGCAAAGTGCGGGTGCACTGGGGAGGGGACTAACGGAGAAGTCCTAGCTTCATTTTCCCATCGTCACCTGGTTGGTCCTATCATAGGGGGATGGATACCCTAAGGGCTCATCAAATGCAAATCAGCTCTGAACTTCCAGTTGAGAAGGAGAGAATCTGGTCCTTGGGACAGAGAATGCCCACTGCTTAGACCACCCTCTCGCCAAGGACCAAGAAAGACCCAAAAGCTGCTTGCAGTCTGCACTTCCAGAAAGGAGGCCCAATTCAGAAAGCTGCCTTCCAAGACACACGTTCGTTCATCAGGATTGCGTGGAGGTGTGGGGGAGTAGAACCTTCGCCAGCCCCACCCTCCCTGGACTGAACCCTGAACGAGCCTCAGGCAGTGACATCCCCTAGCACTTAGCTGAGGGCTGCTTAGGTAAACTAGAGTTCGGTTGCCACGTACCAATAGAGGTGAAGAATTCTGCCTGCACCCGGCTCAGGACACCAAACCAGGACATCAGCAACACCAACACCTGGAGCTCCATGATGGGAAAGGGCAGTATCTGCAAGGCATTCAGGGACAGTCATCAGAGGGACACGGTGGAAAGAGCACCTTCAGCTGGACATGGCTGGGACATGCCTGTAACCTCAGCACTCAAGAGACGGTGTGAGGAAGAACAAAGTTCAAGGCTGCCTGGGCTACATAGCAAGACCCTGTACTGGGGTGGGGACAATGTATATGAGAGGACACATTCATATACGCTGTGCACATACATACACATACCCTCAAGTATATCACTAAATAAGGTATTCAAGATTGCCCAAGGGAGGGGTCACAACATGGAACTAGGGCTATGTGCTCAATTCTGGCCCCTGCCTGGGTTTTGTTTTCCTTTTTAGAAACAAGGTCTCACTATGGATACCAAGATGGCCTAGAACTCAATAAGCCTCCTGCCTCAGCCTTCCAATCACTAAGATTACAAGTGTGCACACCCGGCTTCCTTTCTAATACATATGCCACGAGAGTGTCAAGAGCCACACATAAGACGGTCCAATGCAGACAGTTTGTTCCTAGGACATCAAGATCATGGGGATCTCCTAGGGGAAGAAGCAGCTCTGCAGGGCCACTCTCCCAAAACCACTGATGCAGGTCATACCATCCAGAATGTGACAACGTGCCTCCGACAGGGACCTCCCTTTGCACTTGAACTGAGGGCTGCCCAAAGAGGTAAGAGTCCTATTACCACATATCAATAGAGGTGAAGAATTCAAGGACCTGAATCCTGTCCACAAGAAAGTGACAGAACAGAACAGACAATGACAAAGAGAGCTGAGATAGTATGACGCAGGGGGCCAAGCCAAGTTGAAGTGTACAAAAGGCCGTCAACAGAAGAAGAGGAAAACTGACTTCTGCCCGTCTGCCCCCGCTGTAGAGAGCACTTCTGAACAGACGTGGGTCTTCCTGTAGTGGGGATCGAGACAGACACCTTCCCTGGCCACTCCCTACCCATTCGCAAACATTTACTTATACCCCAGCGATTCCAGGCACCAAGCTAGATGCTCAGGATACAAAGGTGGATCAGTCACACACAGTCACAACACTGGGGCCGGGCTGCTGACATGAGTGAGAGGCCAGGCACTGCCTTCTCAGCCATCTAGAAACAGACAGAGTTCTGAGGGACCCAGCAGCAACCTGGAGCAAGCTTCACTGGCGGCTGGCCTAAGTACACAGTGGAGGCTTCAGACATGCTCCCCCATCTAAGCCACACAGCCCGGAACATGCTGGAAAGCCAGCACCCTGCTGAACCCTTGTTCTGCCTATCCCTTCTCCTCGCGTTTCAACTCAGCCAAGTCTCTGAAACGGCTCAGATGGAAATTTACTCTAAAAAGAAAGCAAAGGAAATAAATGAGACAAAATGCCCAAAACTATGTAGGAAAATCTCCAGGTTAGGAGGATCTCTGATGTGGGGGCCAACCAACTACCCCTCAAAGTGGAGGTGAAAAGAGAGCAGAGTTCAGGCAGGAGACCAGACCAGACCTGGATGAAGCTGGGGAGCTCAATGCACCTCCCAGCTGTGTGGCCAGTTCCAGCGCATACCTAGTCAGAAATTGGGCAGCAGACTCAGGAAAGGGGGTAAGCCTTTTCATTCCTTCCAAATACCACCCACAGTTCATACCTTACAGCGACTGAGAGAAAGCAGCCAGGTCTCTTTATTACACGAGGGCCAGCTGTCATTTCTCTGGAATGTGCTGCCTGGCTGAGACGAGCCCATCCACAGATCCCAGCCTGGAGACACAGCCTCAGAGAGTCACACATGCGCTTTAGGAAGCGACTTACCAAGAGCCTTCCCAGTCCCTTCTGGCTGGGGAGAGGAGTAGGAAAACTCGGCTAGCCAGAGAACTGGGTGCCCCAAGGCACCATTCTAATCAGGGCCATCTGCTCATTTCTTCTGACCCCAGGATCCCTGAGCTCAAAAGGCTTATTGTAAAAGGTCACCTAACTGGGATCAGGTGAAGAAGATGCTCTTATCCAAGAGCAACTGCGCTCTACACTGTGGGGAATGTCAACTCCGGCCTCATAGCTACACCCAGCACTCACCCAGGACAGAGAAAGTGGGAATATGTGAGTCTGCCCAGGGCCGGCGCTGTCAAAAGCTTCCCCAGGAGCCCTCAGAAATCCACAAAGAATAAACAATACAGGAGGTGGTCATGGTCAAATCCCTTTTTATGAAAACACAGCACCAAATAACACTGCTGAGTTTTATGATCCACACCTCAGGGCTTGGAATAATGTCTGCCCTGTAGCAAGCACCCAGGGAAAAGCATCATGAATTTGTTTAGATGAAGAAACCGCAACTAAAGAGTTTACACTCTGTATAGCACATTAACATAGACTATGTAACAATAAACACTCTGTGGCCATCAGCATGGAATGATCAAAGCAGAGTGACAAGGGCCAGCCCTCAATAATCCTTACTGTATGTTCCATTTTTTGAAAGGAAAAAAAATGATGTATGCATACATATAAAAAAGAATCATACCATAACTGTATCTCGGTGAAGTGATTTTATTTTTCTTTTTATGTTTGTTTTCCTGATCTTTCTACAAGAAATCCTACTAGAATTAAAAAGGTACATATTTTTGTGATATGTTAAATATGCATAGGAAACAAAGTAGGCCCTTCTCAACTGAACTCCAAAGGGGCCTAGGCAGTGCCGGTGTCTGGGCCCCTGTAGGGAGGTCTCGCAAAACCTGCCAATGTCCCAGCGACAGCAATTCACCCACCAGGCGGCTGGCACCGTTTCTCGGCATGGTGATTCCAAGACATACAACCTGAGCTCCTGCAGCGAGCCTGCTCTTTGGAAAGTGCATTTATAACCTGGCCAAGTAGCCATGGAAAGATGTTTCCAGCTGCAAACCGGCAGCGTCCTCAGCTTCTCCCCTTACCTCATCGGGGAGGACCCTCTGCCAAGCTCTCAGCTGCCGTCCAAATGCTGCTACATCTTGAGTTTTAACAAAGCACTTAACAGCCCAGAGACAGAACATGAGTTTGCAAAGAGGTCTTGCCTGGCACTAGGCAAAAATGCTGTTTGCCTTCAGTAAAGGAATAACCTCCCCCGAACAAGGCTCTTCAACCCCCTTTCCCACCATGGCCTAGCCTGCCATACAGCGGCTAACGCTATACTGGCAGAGCCGAGAGGACCCAGGTACTCAACCAAGGAGGAGCTAGGCACAGGCTCCAAGAAGTCACACCACTGAAGCACGTGGCTGTCCACACAGGCTCAGAAGTGCACCCAAGTCTCATTGCCAGACACCGTGCCTCAGGCATCACCCTGATCATCCTCTAGCGTACTTCTTATCCATGCAGGTCCCACCTGCTCTGACCTCTTCACCTCTGGATGGGCTTCTCTCCAACTCTATTCTACCAAGTAGCCAGCAAGGCTTGCTGAAACCCTCCCTTTGGTTCCTACTGCCAGATAAGATACAGTACAAAACCCTTGCCCAACGGGCCCTTGTAGCTCCATGACCTGGCGCTGCTACCCTCTCCTGCCCACTGCACTACCTCAGACTCAAACCTTCAACGACTTCAGTATTTACCTCCAACAAGATACTTGTGAAAGCCAGATCTCTGCTCAGTGAAGCCAAGTGTTCTCCCGTCTCCCGAGAGTCCCCTCGAGTCCCATTTCTCAGTATCCATTTAAGAAAGCAAGTAAAACCGTCAGTAACCGAACTCTGACCTTAGATCTTCGTCCCACTGCTGCCGTCAGGGGTGGAAGCTCACCAGGCTTGACAGGAATGCCTGTGTCAGGTACAGTACATTTGTCCTTACATCATCTCTAGTCAGTACATGAATGCTGGGAGCCATCAAAACCATCACCTCCTGCAGCAGCAGAGAAGCTGCCAAGGTCCGCTTGCCAACACTTAGCTGGGTTCCCATCTGGGCCTCAACAGATGGTCTAATGGTCTAGTTGAACTTAACTCATGCATAAAAAAAAAAGCATCATCCATGCTGCCCCATGCCCTAGGATCCGAACCTTCTACTCTGCCTTAGCCAGGCAGAAGATACTGTTGACCCAAGCCAGATGCTCTGGTTCCTCCCACTGCCTCCTGACTAGGCTCCCAAGTGGCTACAGAAGGACCACGCTGAGGAGTGAGGAAGAGTTAACTTCTCTTGAGGCAACTCTGGCTGATGAAGGATAAAATACAAGAGGGAGCCAGCAGGTACTTCCTCCAAATACCTTCTGTAAGAAACCGTCCACAGGCATGGAGTCCCCACGGAGGTTCTACACAGAAACAGGCCCGAAATGGCGGAGGAGCTAGCAGACCTCCATTGAGCAGGACCAGCTTGCTAAGGTACCTCCTCATTGTTTCCCCTTCGTCTCTCCTTTCCCCTCACCCTGGCTGCCCTGCAATAGACTTTTCAATAAGCACTAAGCACTTAAGCTCTGCCTCCGGCTCTGCTTTCTGGGAACCTAGTCTAAGATAACCATGGTTTATGTTTCCAGAGATCTTTCATTTCTACCATCTAATTCTCACAAAAACCTTGTAAGCCAGATAATCATCTCCGCTTCAGCTACAATACTCCCGCCTGGTCCGCAGAGGAGACATTCCAAGAAACCCGGTGCATGAAACCACAGATAGTATCGAACCCTGTGTATGCTGCTTTCTCTGTGAGCACATACCTATGATGAAATTGAATTTGCGAATTAGACACAATGAGAAATTATCAACAGAACGGAATAGAATGGTTATAACAAGTTACTGAAACGAAGCTGCCAGCGTGGCTACTCTTGCACCCTGGGGCCCACTATTTAAAAGGTTACCTGAGCGCAAGCAGTGTTAATACCATGCAGTCAACCTGATAAGCAGGTGGCTACAAAGGATGGCGAGTCTAACAATGGGCAGTGTACACAGCAGGGATACACTAGACGAAGCAACGATAGCCTGTGAAAACCAGAACGGAGGGACGCGGATTCCATCACAGAACTCGGGCGGGCTCACAGTTGTTTATTTCTATGATTTTCCAATAAACATGTTGAGTGTGGATGATGAAAGCTAAAGAAAGTGAAATCAGGACTAAGGAGGGACCTAGTGTATAAGACGTGAGAAAGATCGCTACGGAGGGAGGGCTCCCCATACACCTGACACACGTTCGCAAGCTAAGCCCCCCAACGAAGCCCCCTTCTGCTAGCCACGACCATCCAGTCTCACATGTGTCCCTTCATGGGACATGTGACTTCCTGAAATTGGGAAATCATATTCTACTCAGGTTGAAGACTTTCTCACGGAGCGCTCAAAGATTCACAAATAGTCCATGACATCCCTAGTTGGAGCCCATTAGAAAAAGGAGAGCCCATGGATAAAAAAAAAAAATAACAACAGTTCCCTGAATTCAAGTGGGCAGTCATTTCAACTGGGCACATTATGCATTATCAGTCAACCCAGTTTTGACACCCAAGGAACAGGTAGGTACACCTGCCCTGGGGTAGGAAAGACCCAGAGTTAAATTCTCGCTGGCTTTGTGACCTTGGTCAAGCCCTAGACTTCCTGATCCTCCTGCACAGGAACTGAATTGGATGACAGGTGTCAGCAAGCTGCCAACCATTGGGCTGATTTTGACCAATCGTCGGCACCAAGAGAATCACAGGAACATGAGGGGGGCTGAAGTGGGCATTTGCTCAGCCCAAGTTAGTCGCCCTTGGAAGGAGGAAGGTCCATGAGGAGGCAGTGAAGATGCAAGAAACGAGGAAACAGCGGAAGGTGAGTGATGCCCGCATCCCAGGAACGCCAGCAGAGACGACATATTCTAGACAGACTGGAATCAGGTGTCACAAAGTACTCAATACTCAGAGGTGACCCTGGAATTGTCTTGTCACAGACCCTAAAGCCCACCAAGGTCAGTTCCCCGGCAAAAGGCCAGGAGCGCAACCAATACTCCAAAATCTCCTAGACCTCTGTGCTTCTGACCTGTGCATTCCAGGCTCCTACAAGCACAAGCCTTGGGGATTCCACCCCACCCTGGCTCCCAGGAGAGCCAGGTACAGATCAGGCACTTCCCAAGAAGTCTGGAGAAGAGGCTGGCCTGGACCAGGCTCACACAGTCCTACCAGAGCCAGGGAATCACTATCAACTTAATCCTCTGCCCTGCCGTGGTCTTAGCTGAACAAAACCCCTCTTCTCTAAGATGTCCAGTCCAGACCTTCTCGTCCTGCTCTGCTCTCACTGAGAAGAAAAACTGTCTGTCTATCCCTCATTTCATGTCCCCAGCACAAAACCCACAGACTACAGGACTCCATGGTCCCCTTCACTCTGGGAGAGGATGGTGGCCCGCCGTCAGGCACTTCACAGGTCTAAATGACTAGATTTGAATGGCATTTTCAAAGCTGAGCTCTTCTTGCAGTATTCGGCTTGTCTTCACGTGCCGGCATTACTGCGTCTGCTGCCAACCTCCATCTGCATAAAATTAAGCTCTTGACGGATCCCAGAAGCCAGGGACACACCCCCCAGGCCTCTGCACACTATCAGCCAGCGTGGCCATAAGTTAGCCAAGGCCTTTCGTCCAGCCTCAAACCATCCCGAGGATGTGGGAGGGCACACTCAAAAAGGGAAGCTTTCTCAGGAGATGAGGAAATCCTCAATTCCCTCTCTCCATTCGTTCCTCAGACTTGTGTGTACTCAGTCTCCCTCTGATGAGCACCCATGTACAGGGCTCCTCCCTGGCCGAGGCTGGTTGCCAGTGCTTAAGAGCAACCTCAGAGAGATTAGGAGCTGCCTATGGGGGAAAAAATGCCTCCTCCACCTCCTCTTCTCCCTTATTCTAGTTAGCCAGGCACGTTCTAGCCAGATACCAGGCACACACTATTCAAGGAATGGCCCACAATCCATTGTGGGCCACCCAATCTGTAGATAAGTAAGCCACTCTCCGCATCACCTCGCAGCAGAGCCTGTGACAAGGAATACCAAAGGCCACATACAATGCTTCCTTCAGTTGAGTGGTCACCGTATCTGCCTGATGAGCTCTCCAAGTACTAAGGAGGGTTAGTATGACAGAATCTTCGGGATAAGGCCTCCAGCCAACTCCATCCTTGCAACGTGGCTTCACTGGCTGGGCCACACAGTGGACAAGCTGGACTGTGTGAGAACAAGAAGGCCCCAGAAGGAAAGAATCCAGAGGTCAAACATCCTGTGCATGGAGAGGAGCCGAGAGGCCCGGCCTTGGGGCAAAAAAAAAACCCATAGTGACAGACTGTACCTTGGACACTTCCAAGGCAGATGAGGTACAAGGTAAAGGAAATCCCCATCAATTTAACAGAGAACTCAACCATGGATTGTTACAGGTGTGATATAAACTCAGAACAAGCAACAGATTGCAAAAGTGCCCTACATTCTGAGCTAGACAAAGCTTAGGACATTTTAGGGTGCCAAAAGCTACAAAGTGGTGCACCCAGACCCTGCCCTTCGGTCGTCCCGTCCATCAGGAGGACCAGGTGGTCTGCACAAGGCTTAAAGTGAGATTCTGCAGGGGGAGGAGGCCACCTCAGAGGAAACTCAATGACCTCTCCGACAGCATAGGAAATATCACATTAGAACACAGATGACAGAAGCACCCACCTGTACTTCCCAGTGACAACAGGGGACAGAAAGTGCTCTTGACCCATGCTCAACGAACTTCTCCACGCACAGGTTTCTCACTCCTTGGTGGTTGGGGCTCTTGAACAACTCTTCCCTAATTGGCCCGTTCCCCATCACCTTGCCTCCACTAGAGTATCGCAAAGATGATACTGGCCCAAGTTTGTGGCCACTCTGGGTGTTTCCTAAGAAGTGACCACTCCAGTCCACGGAAGCTCCTGCCCCCTGTCCTGAGGCATTCAGACATCTGCCAAGTCCACACCGTCCAAGCTCCCTAGCAACCCAGTACTTACCTTGCTGCTCCTCTAGACCTGAACTTTCTGAGTCTTTCCTCTGCCTGCCTGTCTTCGCAGTCTCCAGGCACACTGAAGCTGTTTGTTGAATCAGTCAGTCACCACGGGTCTCCTCAACTACCTAGGGAAAACATCTGAGGTTCGACAGGGATGTCTGACAGAGAGGAGGAGGCTTTCTGATATAACAGTCCATAAAAGTAGCGGCACCAAGCTAGTCCCTGTTAGGCTTGGGAGCCAGAGGAGCAGGTCTCCCTCATCCTAAGCAGTGGCCCCTCTGGGGCCAGGCAGGCGCCTCCGCTTTAGATTGGGGGCGACTCTGGGGTCAGGCCGCCTCTTCCCGGGATCCTGACCCCACAGGCTAGCCAAGTGTCCGGCCCGGCCGAGCCGCACCGGCAGGAAGGGCGCCGCCGACCTCACCGCCCTGACCCTGGGAAGGGACACGGGCGGGACAGGAACCGAGGCGGGTGAAGAATCAGGGCGCTGGGCGTGGGGCGCGGGGCTGCGTGATCCCGGATTCAGCTCCCGGCTCCGCGCAGGACAGGTCGCACAGCCTGGCCACCCCAACCCGAGCCCAGCACCGCAGACGACCCCGCAGAACCGCGCTCACCTGGACACGCGCAGCAGCCGGCGTTTCTAGAACCTCCCGCGGCGTCGCCCCGGCGCGCTCGGCTCCTCCCTCGTCCGAGGCTCCACCCGCTTGAGCCTCCGCCACGTCCCCCCCCCCCCCCCCCCCCCCCCCCCCCCCCCCCCCCCCCCCCCCCCCCCCCCCCCCCCCCCCCCCCCGCCCGCCCCCCCCCCCCCCCCCCCCCCCCCCCCCCCCCCCCCCCCCCCCCCGCCTGGGCCTGGCTCGGAGCCACTGGAGCCTCGGGGAAGGCCCGAGCCGCTCGCCACGCGCTGCACGTATGCGGTGCCCGCCTCCCTGCACCTCGTGGGACCCCGCACGACGAGCGGCATACCCCATGCCAGCCATCCCAGGGGCCTGACGCCTGCCCTCGTCCTCTGTGGTCCTACCTCCCCCACATCCAGCACAACCGGCAGATTGCTGGAGGCTGCCGTCATTGAGGACGGGAACTGAGTGTCCCAGGAGACTTGAGGAAGAATGGTCTGGGGTGCGCTCAGGGCAGGTGACCCATCCCCAAAGCCTAACTGCTTCTCTGAAGGGCTTAGGCTGGCCCTGCTAGGACTCTTCTGGACAGGTGAGGAGAAGTTGCCAAAGCCTGGAGCATCCTGGGGCCGACCTATGGTTTATCACACAAGCCAAAGAGATTGGACTCCTCAGCCAGCCCCCCCCCCCCCCGGGCCTGAGAGACAGACAGCCAAGAAGAAAGGGAAGCAGCCTACCTTAGTCAGAACTAAAGGATGCCCTGGCGGCTGAGCAGGTTCCCACGCCTGCCCTGTGAGCTTGCCTCTCCATGAATGAGAAGCAGTCTGAGAATCTCATCAGGGAGCAGAGCTCAGAACGGAGATGCCCAGCCTGTGGGACTGCATCTGGAGCCGGGTGTGGATTCCCTATAATGGCAAGGGCCAGGCGGATAGCCTAGACTGGGAAAGACAGACACACAAAAACACAACTCAGAAAATACCACTCAGCCACTGTCGGTGTCTGTGTTAGCCACCAGCCAGAACTCGGATGAAACCAAACACAAACCTTCCTGCATCTGCTACGCCTCAGAAAGTAGTCTGCCCAGAACTTCCCATGCTTTCCCGATTCTCTCTTCGGACATCACCCTCCTCCTTTCCATGGGATCTTTCCCATTGGCCTATAAATACCTTCAAACCATGGCTGTGGAAACATAACCCTCAAATCACCCTACCACCTACTGTGCGTCTCTCTGCAGCCAAGCCAGCAGGCAAAAGCCCTCTTTTTGACCTCTCAAGCCCTCCAGCTCTACAACAGCCCCAAGCTAGTGTTCTATACTGTTTATTGTTTTCCATATATGTACGCTCCTTTCAATACATCATCTAAATCAGCTTACAAATACTCTACTACTGCTTTAGTATTGCTGCTTTTTCTCTATCTGTTTGGGTTGTCTAGATACTCTCGGCTCACTGCTAGCCTGTATATTAGTAACTTTCTGCACTGCAGTAATGAAATACCCCAAAAAGCAACTGTAGGAAAGAAAGTTTTGTTTCAGTTCACAGTGTGAAGGGACAAGCTGCCACGACGGGGACAGCATGGAGGCATAAGGAGGCTAGTCACGTGGTGTTCACAGGCAGGATGCGGGCAGAGATGGAAGTTGGTGCTCAGCTCTCTTTCTCCTTTCTTTCCTTTTTCTTCATTCCAGAACCCCAGCCCATAAGGCAATCCTATTCACATTCAGAGAGGGTCCTCAGTTAAGCCTTTCTGGAATGCTCTCAAAGACACACCAGAGCTGCATCTCCTAAGTGAGGGTGAATCCCATCAAATTGGTAATGAGGAAAACCAAGACATCAAGTCATATGGTCTGTGAGTGTGCTGCTAGGGGTGGACTTTCCACTTCATTAGAATTCAAGCGTCCAGAATGCTCCCCAGAGCTCCTGGCTTTCAGTGGTATTAGAAGCGTATGTTAATACCTCCTTTTTCATCTATAATTGTATTAATTTGCATCCTTTCTTTGGTTAAGATAATAGAGAAAAGGCTCTGTTAACCTTGTCTAACCAACCCTTTGTTTTTATTGCTCCTCTGTATTGTTCCCTAGCATCTGTGGTAGTTTGAGTGAAAAATGTTTCTCATGGTCTCAGGTATTTGAAAACTTGGTTCCCAGTTGGTAGCACTGTTTGGGGAGGGAGATGTGGTGCTGATTGCTGGAAGCAGCATGTCACTGGAGATAGGCTATCATATAGCCTGACGCTACTCCCTGTTTGCTCTTTCTGCTTGTGCTTGTGTTTGAGCATGTGAGCTCTCAGCTTCCTGCTCATGCTGCTACGTCTGCACTTGGCATTATGCCTCCCTGCCATGATGGACTGTAGAACTTCTCCTGTCCTGCAGCTACTCTCAAATAAACAAACTAAGGCTGATATTAATTATAAATGCTCGGCCAGTAGCTCAGACTTATTACTAACTAGCTCTTACATTTTAAGTTAACCTATATTCCTTATTTATGCTTTGTCACATGACTTGGTACCTTTTCTCAGTACAGCACATTCATCTTGCTCCCTCTGCATCTTGCTGGCAACTGCAAACTCTGCCCTTCTTCCTCCCAGCATTCTCCAAGTCTGGCTCTCCTGCCTAACATTATTTTGCTCAGCTATTGGCCTGTTAGCTTCTTTATTAAACCAATCACAACAATATATATTCCCACTATTCACACAGTGTAAAGGAATATTCCACAGCAATGAACTCTTATCCCTCTGGAACCCTAAGTCTAAATAAACTCTTCCTTCTATAAGTTGCCTTGGTCATGGTGTTTTATCACAGCAGCAGAAAATTAACAAATACTGTCTGCATTTCATTAATTTCTGTCCTGATCTTTATTATTCCTTTCTATCTTCTAATTTGAGTTTGGCCATAGCCTTTTCTTTAGGGCCAACAATCCAATCATTCTCCTACTTTTTTCTCTTTCCCTAGAAGTACAAAGTGCCTAGGCTACTTTGTGATATAACCAGTCATGTGTTTTCCCCTGTGCTCTTGAACTTAAGCTGGGGGTCTTAACATTTCTGGCACTAATAAAAATACTTAAGTTGTTGTACAAAACACTGAATGAAATTAAACACAAATCTGAGCCGGTTTCCTTTTATATAAACCCCATACCCTGATACCCTTGTGTTACAAGAAGAGGGAGCGGGTCCTTTGTTTGTCCCAGCTAGCTTACACCTGAAACAATCACACAGAAACTGTATTAATTAAAACACTGCTTGACCCATTAGCTCTAACTTCTGATAGGTTAACTCTTACATATTAGTTTAGCCCATCTCCATTAATCTGTGTATCACCATGTGCCAATGGCTTATCGGAGATTTTAACCGGCATCCATCTCAGGCAGAAAATCCATGGCATCTCTCACTCTGCCCTTCTTCTTCCCAGCATTCAGTTCTGTTTTCTCTGCCTACCTAAGTTTTGCCCTAACAACTAGGCCAAGGCAGTTTCTTTATTCGTTAACCAATGAAAGTAACACACAAACAGAAGAAACTCCTACACCATTTCCCCTTTTCTATTTAAACAAAAAGGAAGGCTTTAACTTTAACATAGTAAAATTACATATAAAAAACAGGTATCTAGCAAGAATTACAGTTACAATATTTATATCTACTTTATCTTTTTATCATAACTAGGGAAAACTATAATTATAATTTTATTTATAATTATAATTCTTCAACTCCATCAAAGACTCCAGAAGGATATAATATTACCTAAGTAAACAGGAAGTGCAGTGTAAGCAACTTCCAAAACTCTAGAAATGACAGAGACATCTCACTGCCTGGACATTTACCCAAAGTTCTTTTGTACCATTGGGGCATCAATCTTAAGCTTACAGGCCCATAGTATCCAGCAGACTTTTCAACGAAGCAGGAAATTTCAAAAACAGTTTAGTCACTTTCTTCTGTATCCTGCAGAATGTCTCACAGAGTCTTCCATGAAGCAGTAACCCAAAGGATCATTTCACCTTTAGGCAAGTTTAGCAGTCATCTCTCTGTGGGTTCTTCATGTCCAGTTTATGCAACAGTCCAGGCAATGTCCCTCTTCCTCAGGAAGTAGCTGGTGCTGTCAGGAGCAGACATGTCTCATTGTCATGAAAAGCCCTAGGTTATTAAAATATTTTAAATGCCATATTCTGTAGTCTTTGAAAGATATAAAGAATGTCTATCTGAAATAGAGGCACATGTGATAGGGTGAATCCAAATCTTAGTTGTATTTGAGTCATATTGCTTTCCACAATTTCTCCTACAGGAATTTTATTGCAGAGAGATAATACTATTTTAGAATGGATTTTTTTTACCACATAAACCAAGTAAAAAATTTAAAATTACGTAGAAAAAGTCTCTCAATTAATTATAAAAAGTAAGTTGAGACTTCATCGACTATCAGGTATAGACCCAGCAGAAATTATAGTGCCTTTTACTAATGATAAAATTAAAAAGTTATAGGAAGACAACGAACCATGGCAAAGAGCTTGTGCTAATTTTTTTGGGAGAAATTAATAGCAACTATCCCAAAAGTGGTAGACTTAACCTCATAAAAAGAACTTCTTGGATTCTTCCTCGAATTGTACATGATGCTCTAATTACTGGAGCCCGTACATTTTATACTGATGCTAATAAATCAGGGAAGGCAGGCTAAAAATCAGAAGAATTGAGTAAGGTAGAACAAAGCCCTTATAATTCTGTCCAGAAGGCAGAATTATTTGCCATTCTTATGGTACTAAGGGATTTTAAAGAACCTCTTAATATAGTTACTGATTCACAATATGCAGGAACAGTTATCTTGCATATTGAAACCGCTGAATTTATACCAGATGATACAGAATTGACTTCATTGTTTATCTAGGTACAAGACATAATCAGGGACAGGCTTTGTCCTATGTACATAACACACATCCAATCCCATACAGGTCTGCCAGGTCCTCTAGTACAAGGTAATGCAGATTACCTTGTTATTGCTTAGAATATTGCAATTATTGATTAGAAGTGTGTTGCAGGCCACTGAAATTTATAAAAAAAAATCATGTCAATAGAAAAAGTTTAAAGAAGGAGTTTTCTATTACTTTGGCAACAAGCTAAGG